TTATCTTGGATAAGCCTCTTCCCTTCTCTGGACTCGGTTTCCCCACCTGACAAATGAAGGATGGGCTATGGACTGGAAGGTTTTCTTCCTGCTGACTTTCCTTTAATCTCTTATGTCATCCTTGAAATGTAGGCAGTGTGTTTTGGGATGGGAGGCTCAGTATGCAACCTTGGGAAAGTCACTTTTCATTGGACTGTGATGTTGTCATCACAACCAGTATCTCCCTCGCAGGACACTTGTGAGGATCCTGGGAGATAGTGGACATCCTTTCAGACTACCCAAGTTTCAGGCAGGCAGGAAGGAGAGAAGAGAGCAGCCTAAGGCAGGGCTGGCCACTCTTATCCTTGTGCTGCCTCCGTGAACCAGCTTCCTGACAAACCCCTGCTAGAGAAGAATTGGGCAACGGGGAGTTTTAATGGCTTACCCAATCAAGTGATGTCCACAGCCGAGGCCAGGGCACCCTGCTCTCCAAACACTCGCATTGTTAGAATGCCAGGCTGCTAGCTAGAGGCCACAGAACAAAACGTACAAGTCACCTCAGGCCTAGGTAAGCACAATGCATTATAGGAGCCCAAGCAGAAGAACATTTAGGGAGCATCTAGAGGGATAGGCAGAGTCCCTGGGCGGCACAATTGGTTAAGTACTTGGTTACTAACTGAAAGGTTGGCAGTTTGAGTCCACCCAGAGGCACCTCAGAAGAAAGGCCTGGTGATCTACTTCTGAACAATCAGCCATTGAAAACTCTATGGAGCATTGTTCTGTTCTGATACACACGGAATCACCATGAGTCAGAATCGACCTGATGGCGATGGAGAACCCCCGGCTGAGAGAGGAAGTGACTGGACCTGACCTGTCCCTATTTCTGAGTCAGTTAAGCTCATTCCTAAGAACAGCAGAGGCACATGGCAGAACAAGAGAAGTCAGCTGAGCAAAGTCCCAGTTTGCAGGAGACAAAGAGGAACACAGAGGAAAGAATAGACTTCAGAGTAAGACAGACCTGTTTTTAAGACTTTGGACGAGTGACATAACTTCTCCAGGCCTCAGTTTAAAACTCCCCACAAGGACCATGGTCTCTGGGAACATCTAGCTCAATTGGCATAACATAGTTTATAAAGACAATGTTCTACATTCTACCTTGGTGAGTAGCATCTGGGGTCTTAAAAGCCTGTGAG